ATGAAAGCGAAAATATGTGAGCTCTCTCGTCAACATCGCCAGAACAACAGTACCTTTCAATGGGAAGCCGAGAATTCTGATATGATGTGCTGAGGAATGAGGTGGTCACTCCTAGCAATTTTATCCCCAACCACACTAGATGATACCCACCTCTGTAAATCCCAATGGTTCCCGATTAGGGAATCCATGGTCGGCCAAAGTTGTGCGAGCAAATCGAAGGGAGGTGTCACAATTCCCTTTCTCGTGCCAGTCACAATATCGATCTACTCAGCGCAGCACGGACACAAGTATGGTGCACAAGATAATCGTAGACACTGATGTAAGTTTATGCGGAGACGGGATCGGTGAAGAATTGAAAGGTTTTGTGGCAGCCTGGAGTTGATGATGTCCTTGCGATACTTCTGTTATTGTCTTCACCGGAAGTCTCCATCGAAGTGATTAGCGTCTGCTTCGGTGCGTTAGGGGGATATATTTTTGCGAATTGAGACGGACTCGAATGTCCTCATACTTTAGGCAACACTACGGTGGACAAGGCTTCCTTAAATATTCAAAAGCTATACCACGTCCTCGATCGTCACATTGCGCAGCATCCAGGAGAAAAGAACCGTTTCGCTGGCCTACAAACCACAACAAAAACGAAACTCGTCAAGGGTGCCAGTGGTCCACTTGAGGGCACTCTCGACCTTGCGGAATATTTTGTGAGTAAAGCTATCCTTGCTCCTCTTCGGCTAAATCATAATGTGACATATCAAGCATGGCCCGGATGGACTCTCTGACATCACGACCACTCACACAGAGTTTGATGCTCCTGTTGCAGTCCCCCAACATAGTCCTCTTTTGCTCTCGTCAGAACCCGCCCATGACGCGATTTTGTCCACCTTGGCGTCTGAGCCTCCATTGTCAGTCACACTCCTATCCCTGGGGCCTTGTAAGACGTGTTGCCCTTGGTTTGTCGGCCGCTGAGCTCATCAAGTTATTTGCGCAGTGACAAATGTCGCCCTTGCATTGAAAAAGGATCCACAAACATTTTCCCGAGTCAAGCGAGTCGTCACCATGGGAGGGACTTTCGAAACACCAGGCAACACATCACCTGCATCGGAGTTTAACTTCTTCGCCGATCCGTAAGTGGAATTCTCTCAGTACATTGTATTCGGTGGATTGATCATTAATTCTTCAGGTATGCCGTTGACATTGTCCTCAAATCTGCGACTCTCGGACATTTTGACTTTCTCCTCACCCCACTGGATATTACTTCGCAGCATACAATACCTTTCGGCGACCTCATCCGGCCCGATGCAGAGCAACGGACACCCAACATTCTTCGCTCTTTTATCGATCCCGTTTTATCGCGGACCAGGCGGGTCCTTACCGCATGGGGCTACACGGGAGATTTGTTTGGGATGCACGACCCTCTGGCCGCGTTTTTCGTGATTGACCATGCTGAAATCCGTGGTCTGGATCTCAAGGTGGGATGGGCTACGAAGAAACGAGAATTCATAATCGAACGAACGGGAGAGCTCACGAAAGGTATGTGTGTTGTTGATCGCCGAACGTGAGTGGATAAGGAGTATGTCATATGGGTAAAGACCGCTGATGACACAATGCAGAGGAACAGAAGAAGTAGGGACTGTACGGTCCAGAAAGGACGTTGATCTCGATGATCGTCCATCACCTGCTAAGGATGGTACTCTGAAAGGACCCAGACCGGACAGCCGGGTCCTCGATGTGTCCGTGGCCTGGAAGAGCCCAGGTCCTGATGTCTTCAAGAGGTACTTTCTTCACCGTGTCCTCGGACAATAGAATTCAGACACCGGGCTACGTCAAGCAAGCGCCACGATGCTTGGGCTCTAATGGAGAGATTAACACGCCAAGACTTGTTCCTAGTGTCTATGATGGTGATAAAATGAGGAGCAATACGATATAAGCCATTTGACAGATTTCCAAGTTAAATCTACAATTATACTGATACCATTGATGAACACATACGCTGCAAGGCTAGAATGTCAATAAGTGTGGCCAACAATGATTTTTTTTTCATTCTAATCGCCACGTTGCTGGATAAAGCATGTAGGCTGCATCCCTTGACTTCCGCCTCCAGTCCCCTAATGCAAGACTGAAGGGAAGGGATGAGCGCCTATCCCGGGTGCCGATTATAACGAGCGAATAATGTATCTGAGCATTCTAGTCATTCTTGCACAAATTCTTGCCGCTAAGAAAGGAGATGACTGCTGACGAAAGGGATGGGACCCAGGTGCAAATAATTAGTGCAATGAGAGGCCACTCAATGCGACATCAGAGTAGGCGAGAAAGAAGGTATCATCTCCCAGAAAGCCCCACAAAGTCGAAAGTTGGCCATTCGACAGCATAACAATGAAAAAAAAATATTCGGCCAACTCCGCTTCAATACAATCGCATTGACCAGTTTGCTTGAAGCGATCTTGGCCTCTCAACCGCTACCGGATTTCCATTGCCTGTTCGTTCGTGGCGCTTATCTGGGAGCTTTTTTTTCTTGCACAATATAATTCATTGAGAAATTTATCGAGTGCTGACTGAAATGTCGAATTTGCCACCAAGGCCTCCAGCGTTCAGAGGAGGCGCATCCCGGACTAGCCAATCCCTTTCCCGCAGGACGGCACCTAACTCCTCGTACTCGTCTCGTGGGCGAGACAGAGGGGAAATCTACGCTTCCAATTCGTACCATGACCCATCGTCTTCACTTCCTCCACATTCTTCCAGACATTCTTCATCCTCTTCCAGGTATCCCGATCATACTTATGAGCGCGAGAGATATGACAGATACGATGGTCGCTACTATGATGGTCGGTATGAGGACAGGAGAGCTTGGGATGAAGCCTACGAGCGCCGAGACAGAACGCCGTATCAAGATGCTCTTGAGAGGGAAAACTATGGTAGACTCGAACGATATCCGGATCATTATCCTAGAAGAGATCCTCACGGTCTGTTTGTACCCCTTTTCGAGCTCACTCGATGGTGCTTAGGTCGCTCTATGTTTTGACAGGGTATCCACAAGACTCGTATTCTCGCACCTTCCGTCACCACCGAGACACATATACGAGCCAACACAGCATGTCTAGACGAGGAAATTATCCCTCGGGAAGGGATGCCGGACGTCCATCCCGCTCACATTACTCTCCTTCGCCCTCACGTTCACAGGATGGGAGTCATCGCCAGTCAACTACTTCACATGGCGGAGGGACCTACGAGTCGAGTGGCCCGAGGGCGGAACAACCCGTCTCTCCAGGGTCAAGACTAAATGAAGAAGCAAATCGTAGATCGTCTCCTAGCTCGGGGGAATGGAGCAATGCACGGAAGAGCGGAGAAGAACGGGGAAGGTCGGTGGGTGGGGCTATTGGGAACAGACTGGATGGTGTGTCTACTGGTGATCCTAGGATGCGTTCAAGATCAAGGTCGCCTTCACACAGATCATCTCCACCTGTGAAAATCAGGCGTCCTCCCAGAACTCACCCGCTCAATCCCACCCAGATATCCCCAAATAGCCCCACACCGACGGGTCCCAAGGATATTACCGCCATCGCACCTCCGATGTCCCCGCCTACAACAACGCTACCCGTTGAGACTGGGGAACCTGATTTCCCAATCCCTGAGCCAACCCCCAGTCTTGAGCCAACACCGCAGGCGCAGCAGCCACCTGTCCAAACCCCCGCTCTAGGTAGCACCTCCCCTGGTCCTGTACCAAGCCAGAACGCTGCGAATACAACGGCTGCTTCGGGCGTGCAGAAGATGACGGACTCTGACCCAGGCCCAAGTTCAAAAACACCGAGCAGTGTTGTTCCGAAGGCGCCTCCAACTGAGCCGAGAAACTTTCGGTCTCAGGAAGCACTTGCGACACGCTCACAAATTCCTTCCGCCCCGGCTACTATGAGGAGAGGCCCGCCCTATATTCCTAAGTTGCGCAAACGGCCTCTTGCTGAGGATTTGGAGGAAAATGTTCGTGATTAATCTGTCCCACCGTACTCGCATGCTCATTCTATGTCATTTTCTCGTAGATCGCAAAGCATGTTGCGTCCACTACGCAGGCGTGGAAGAAAATCAACGCGAACACTCCTAATTTTCTGAGATTGCAATATGAAGGTATGGTGGCAACCGCAGAGCTCCTTGCATTGGAGGACAGGAGGAAGATCGCGGAACGCCAAAGAATCAGCCTTGAAAAGGGTATCGTGAATATCGAAGCCTTTGATGAGCTTGTCAAAGATGGTCTTATCGAGGATTTAAGTGTTCATAGTTGAATGATCTACTGCACAATTTCGTGTCACTTTTTTCGGGGTCTGAGGTGCTCTTTTTGGTCTCAAGCTGACTTCAAGGCAAGGACGTCATGGATTGAAAAACGAGCTCGGTATTGGCATTCACACATAGTTGTTTATTTCGGCATGGGGGTACACTCAATTTCCGTGTGTTTTGGATCGAAAGGTAGGGCGCAGTAGAAGCCGAGGCTCTAACGTGCATCACAGTAATTCAACACCATCGCCGGGAAGTTTGAGGGAATTTGACGGACCTGCATCGTTGAAAACAGGGCGCGAGATTGTAATGCAACCTATCATTGAAGTGGGTTTGTGAATAGTCATTGATGAAAGTGCACCATGCCTGCAACCGCACACCTTGATGCACCGTTTACTCCCATCTGGTTCTTGCCGACACAAGTCTGCTTCGACGGTGTCGCGTTTCGGACTGTCCAAGATGTACTTGGCAGATGGAGATTCCTGTTGGCTGTGTCAAACCCCATTGTTCCTGTACCCCCGCAAGTAAAGGATGTACGAACGGCGACAAATGACTTCACGGTCCCTTTAGGGTTTGGGTCCTTCTTAAACTCGGGAGTATCATTCCTAACAGAATCATTGTTTTCCTTCCGCAGTGAGAACATGAATGAGGTGGGGTATGCATAGCCACATCGGTCGACAGTCTGAACCTCCTCCGGCGATCTAAAAGAGTATAGGGTCCAATAAAACTCCCAAACCAATGGGTGCCTGGTAGCGCAATTGGTTAGCGCGTCTGACTGTTACCGTGCTGACATCAGGAGGCTGTGAGTTCGAGTCTCACCCGGGCAGTTGCATTTTTGTTATGCCCTTTTGAGCCGGGGGGTAACTGCAGTTCATGAAGTCATTGCATACTCCAGAACTCAAGGGTTTTGAGCTCTGCAGATCCAAATGCCAGGTTCAGCGTCCTTTACTAATCGTTCTCCGCTCCACACTTGTGTCAGGCTTCAATCCGTTTCTCACGCGCATGTCTGGAACATTCCTAATGTGTTTGCAATGCCTTTGAGGGAAGCACAGCTGAGCTGCCAATAAATGGCGAACTGGGAGTTGAACAGCTTGGCACGCCGGCAATATCCTCGCGGAAGACATTGGTCAGGGCTCGAGATCCTCAGCCTGGAAGGAAGCTCAGGATAGGCCTGGAGATGCCGCGTCTAGGTAGATCCTCGGCCTGTTCACCTCGCCGGACAATGGGAACAGCTGGGAATTAATGATGCATGCGCGCTTGATCAGACGGGTTCTCTTGTGGAACACACCCCTTAGCGGGGTGCCTTTCTATCCGTGTTGATGTCCGGTTTGATCTTCGTGTGGAAAAGGTTCAACTTCGCCGATCATCGCCGAACGAACCCACATATTCTACTTCGCCTACACCTTCTACTGGTCACCCGAGAGTACTTCCGCAGTCGTCTCACGTTTCCGGCTTATTCCATTCCTGGAACCCTAGCTTTGATGCTTGTGCTCATGGTGACCAGTTCCTACAGAGCAGCTCTTGTCATATTATTGGAGACACTGCTCTTGTAGCATGTCTTTAGGCGTTGTTGCTCTTCAGGTCCATCTGACTTCAATCGTCCAGCCATTGGTCAGTGTAACTCCTGATCCCTAATCTGAAATTGGACATGAGAGTCTCGGTTGGAACGATTCATTAGGATCATACTTCTGATCAAGCCACTGGGAACCCACCGCGAATAGCGAGCACATCAGAGCTCCGGCTACCCCTCCATCGGCACTGGCCCTGGGCAGAGTTTGAATAACGACGGTTCCTCCGATATGAAATCGGTGCTTTGCCTTTATCCAACCATCTCAATGCATGATCTGTACAATAGCTGGCTCTCACATGCATTGCAAAATGGCGTGGATGTGCATGTGGATGGGGCGATGAAATTTGACTTGGTATCACTGGCGGACACAATTAATCCTTGGAGCCCGCCCCTGACGGCTATACTTGGGAAGGGAGGGAGATGGACTCGGTATATCCTGCGCCAACTAGTGATTCGGCGATGATTTCTCGTGTCCCTTGTTCCCGTGACTTACGCCTGAGGCATCTTACTTGTTCACTTCGATCCTGGACGCCGCTCAATATGACCATGATATTCGCGACCTCTTGTCTTACGAACAACTTGTATTATGACCCACCGGGAGAAGTGGGCGTGAATGGTTCTTAACGTCTTACAGCTTGGTACACAAGAACCCTTGATGATGCTCTGGTGCCGTGCCCGAATGCTTCTGGGAAGAATATCTAATTCTTTTTTTCACCGTATCATCGTTGAAAAGCTCATCAGCAGAGCCGGAGAATGGAATAACGTATAACTGCGAGATATATAATGCTGTAGATCAGCATTATCAAGACTGTCGTTGAATACACTTAGAACAATTCCTAGCGAGCATCTTCTCAAGAAGCCCATCATCACTACCACAACGTAGTACCACAGATCATCCGTTGTATACCTGTTCTTCCAGTATTTGGGGGGAATGGCTTAGTGTATGAGAGTTCATTCGTGAACGCCTTTAAGTACTTTTGGTCTTCAATGTTTCACTGACTATCGTGTATCAGGAAAGCCTTTGAACCCACCTCTTCTCTCACCCCCACTCAGGCGCTGCAATGGATAAGCCAACCGTCGCTAATGTTGGCGCAGAGGAGCCCGACTTTAGTGGCAAGAATCATCGTGACAGCAGTCCCAGTGTCAATGGCGCCCTCCTTGAGGGCAGTGTCGATTTAGCCGCGGCTCGACGAGCTCGTGTCAAAATCGATCTTGTTGTCCTTACGACGTCAACCGTCGTCTGTAAGCTATCTGCCGGACAGAAAATATGAGCCTTAATTTAACTAGTACCTTGTCAGACTTCCTCAACTTGATCGTGAGCTGAATCTTCCACGTACCTCGTAATACCCTTTCCGACCTATCATCTTACGCTCAAGGATAAAACGAACCTAGGTGGAGACCAAACGTGTTGTGTTTGTCCCGATTTTCGATTCTGACGACTGCTCACTCGAACAGGAAATGTTGCAAAGACAGGGCTTTTGAAAGACCTCAAAATGTCCCCGTCTCAATTTTCCATCGTTTTGAGCATCTTCTTTAGTGGGTCAGCTTCGAGCAAGGCCAATGATTACAATCGCTGACATCCAGTCCCACTAGTACCTTATCTACTTGTGGAGATGTTCTCCAACTTCTTGTTTAAGAGGATTGGAGCCCGTATATTTATACCTACCCTTGTTGTCGCATGGGGCCTGGTCGAGACATTCCAAGGTTTAAAAATGAAACTCCCGCATAGGAATCAAGTCCTGATCATCTTGACTTCCACTTGTACAAGGTTTCGTCACATCCTACCATGGATTAATCGTTTCCCGTTTATTCCTAGGGCTGACCGAAGGTATGTCCCGTTTTCAAGTTCTTACTGCCCATGGTTTACTTCCATTCCATTTCAGGGCCCCTGATTCCGGCACTCATCTTATATCTGTCGGAGTTTTATACCCGCCACGAGTTGCAGAAAAGGATAGCCATGTTCTTAAGTGCTACGAGCCTTGGGAGCGCATTTTCTGGACTTTTGGCTTACGCTATCGTTCATCTTGACGGTAAAGGAGGTAAACCCAGCTGGAGGTGCGTTCGTTGACATGTCGCTCAACCATGCTGAAATTTGCAACATAGCTGGATTTTCTTCTTAGTTCGTCCTTCAGGTATCAAGGGGACCTCTCCCTGAATTGAGCTATTTGTTACATACAGGAAGGTATCTTTACTATCGTATTTGGTGTCGCCTCCTACTTTTGGCTACCGAGGGATATTCCGAGTGCTACCTTGATGACGGAAGAAGAAAAATTCGCATACACTCGTACAATCCAAGAAGATACGGTTTTTAACACAGTGGATGATATATTCCAGCTCTCAAGCGTGTGGTCGACTCTCACAGCGCCTCATGTCCTATTCCTATCCACTGCGGGATTCATTATTGGTGCGTTGAATGTGTGCTCCCTTGTCGTGCTACTGCGTTATCATAGGTGTTGTCCAGGTTACCTTTTCTTTGGAATAGCGTACTTGTGAGATTATTGTCATGCTGAAAACCACTGCCAGAGCAGTAGGCTGATGATAAACTAGCCTCCCGACCGTAGTGGGGAGTCTAGGCTACTCCCCCGCTAAAACTCAGCTTTATGGAGTCCCTCCATTCGCCTGCGGGTTTATTTGTGCGTTATCGCTTGCATTGTTTTGGATTTTAAACTCAGTGTCTCATTCAGCGAGCATAACGGCCGCATATTTCAGCGACAAATACCGTTGCAGGGGAAAAATTGCGATTGGCTCCAGCTTCATCACTCTGGCAGGATTCATCATGATGTATCGTTCGTACACACCACTGCCCCATGGTGAACGTGGCGTTGACTTGAAATTCCATAGAGAGCACAAATGTTCATGTGAGGTACGGCTCGCTATTCGCCCAAGCGATTGGCTTGTACATCACCGTTCCTTGTACGGCTACGTGGATCTCAAAGTAAGATCGTCGACGATTTCGGTTTTGCCAAGTTGATGAATTTCTCTCGGGCAGCAATGTCTATCCTCACTACCGCCGTGCTACAGCTCTCTCATTTGGTAATGTCCACAACATGATCCCTAATTAATGCCTCTCGGATCATTGTGCTCACTGCATCCGGGTTTCCAGCAAACATCTGCAGCAGCTCTGGAGGGATATTGGGATCGTGGATGTACCACGATGCCCCTCGTTTCCACAAAACAACGAAGCTCAACATCAGCTGCACTGTTGGTGAGGGCATAACTGTTTGGCTCTTGTCCAACAACTTGTGCTAATAACGATCGCTGATCACGCAGTATTGATTGTAGATGTATGCCTGACACTTGGCTATTTTCATTACAAGAACTTGCAGAAGGCCAAAGAGCGCAGATTACACGGTAATGGCGCAGATGACGATATTGAAGAGAAGCTGAGGCTAGGTGACAGACACCGAGACTTCATATATACTCTGTGACCTTGGTCTGGTTTGTTGCGATCTTGTACATGTGTATTTTTACAATTACAATCGACAAGTACGAACAGGAAGTCCCAATGATGGCTATGACCCTCACGAAGGAGATAATTATTTGAAGTACACATATTCCTCCGATGACAGTATTATATCCGAGGCGCTTTTTTTCAGTGTTGTCACGATGTCGATCGCTGGAGAAAGTGAAATCATAAAGTCCTCCGGCTTGAGACTGGACGGATTCTCCAGTTTGCGCTAAGCATTCTCGTGAGTGGGACAGGAAGCCTGAGTGTCGACGTCCAGTGCATACTCTTCCACATCGGACACGCTCCCACCGGCCCCATATGGTTGCCAGTGCTTGGGGAAGTGTACCTCATCTTCCATGTTGTTTAAAGCCTCGCATGTGCAGTGAAGTCCAGCAAAAATTGATGATTGGGCAACCTGCCAAGACAATAGGGGGCCTCATGTGTTAAAAACCCAGGTTGTGGAAGAGGGGATAAATGCGTGAGTCCGAATGCAGGCGGGGCTCAACTAGAGGGGGGTCCGAGGGCTCCGGTAGTGAACCGAAGCTTCTCAGGGAGCCCGGTTCTGCTGGATGGTACAAGAGGCTCTAAGAAGGACGCGGCCTCAGCGACTCGGAGGGAGCGCTGTGCCTCCGTTACGTCTCAGTTAGTGTCAGGGCTCGGTCCTCGATCAGGGACAGCCCGACCTCAGGCCTAGGTGTGTGCGGTGTTCCGGGTGGTTGGGCGCTAGACCCTGTCCTTAGCTCCTCAAACTCACTGAAGGGACTAAGCGGGGATTGAGTTGTCATGTATTACAGAGGGTAACTACAACT